TGTTTAAAAAGGGTATTCTTAATTTATTATAGACAACTTATAATAGATGACGGTTTCTATGAATTTTAAAAATAGTACTACGCTATATAAATATACTATTGTTACAAGGGAGTCTTCTATTCTTATAATAAACAACTATGGAAAATAAAGCGATATGAAACATACAACTAACAATAGAATACTATTTCTTATAACTTTAAAAATAGTTATAAACTGAAAAACCAGACTACCATTTAAAAGTAGTAGTCTTAACTAATTATTGACAACGGTGGCAACAAAAACTGTATTTTTAGGTGAAACGGACTACTAATAAAAGATTACCGTTCCTCACAACTTTAAAAACAATTCTACCTTTAATTCATAGACTATTGTTACAAAAGAGTCTTCTATTCGCATTAGAAACAACGGTGGCAAAAAAACCATATGTAATAAACAACTAGCAATAGATAACTGTTTCTTATAAGTTTAAAAACAGTTCTAGACTAAAACACCAAAATACTGTTTAAATGGAGTATTCTTAACTTGTTTTTGACAACTGTTGTAACAAAAGCTGTATTTTAAACTAACACAGACAACTAGTGATAGATTACAATTTCTCAAAACTTTAAAAACAGTTTTAAAGAATAGTACCTAGACTACTGTTCTGTAGCCAAGAAAAACTCACAGTAGTCTGGTTTTTTTAACTACTGTATTTCCATAAACAGTAGTTAATCAACAGTCGTCTGATACTGTTTTTGGCGTAGTGTGGACAACTCTATTGTAGGGGTCCATACTCCCAACGAGGCCGAGGACAAGGCAGGCGAGGCCGACATCGCAACTAAGGCTATTTCACTTTGCTTTCTTGTTAGGGGCTACGTCTCCTCCGCATTTGGGCTGCGTCCCATACGTTGCTTTTTCCTTTTTCCTTCTCTTCTACCACTTTTGGGTAGTCCTTTTTCCTTCTCTTCTACTTAGACTCTTTTGCATGAATAAAAACCCTTCTCTTTAAATATATATATATATATATATATATATATATATATATATATATATATATATATATATATATATATATATATATATCGGTAAGTCTAAAATGACACCAGTGCTACTGTTATAATTTGCTTACACCAGTTCGTTTGAGGTACCTAAGGTGCTTCGTTTGTAAAAACGACGGTTCCTACCCCCCCTAACCCACCCCCTAAACCCCCTACCCCATCCCCACCCTTGCCCCCCACCCCAGGGTAGGGAGGGTGGCAGGAGGGGGGGCTGGGGTGGGGGCGCAAGGATGGGGCTGGGGTAGAGGGTGGGTTATGAGGGGTAGGAACCGTCGTTTTTACAAACGGAGCACCGTAGGTACCCTAAACGAACTGATGTAATCAACTGGTGTATAAGTAACTGGTGTCATTTTAGACGCTCCCTATATATATATATATATATATATATATATATATATATATATATATATATATATATATATATAGACATATATATATATATATATATATCTGTATATCTGTATATATATATATATATATGTATGTATATATATATATATATATATATATGTATGTATGTTAATACCAGTGCTGGGATTATAGGGGTTTTTTTAGGGGTTTTTTTATTTATTGTAGGGGTTTAATACCTCTTGTTTCTTTATTGTCTGTCGGCCACTTGTAGGGGTTTTTTGGCCAACCCCATGTACTTTGTCATTTATCTCTAATAAATTATAATTTCCCTATATATATATATATATATATATATATATATATATATATATAGAGAGAGAGAGAGAGAGAGATTTTGGTTCAGGTGAGAATTCGATCTTATGAAAGAAATACGAATGAATCTGGTGCTTTAGATTGTGAGATCTAAGGGTTAGGATTGCATCAAAATTAGGTGCACCAAAATGGTTTGAAAATGCATCATGTAGAAATGCACCATAATCCCTTGAAAATGCATAACCTCAAAATCTGAGTGCAGGATGCAATCTGAGCCGCATGATGCATCAAATCTAAAGGCTAGATTTTATTCTTATTTCTTTCACCAAGGTGCATTCTCACTTGAACCGCCCCCTATATATATATATATATATATATATATATATATATATATATATATATATATATATATATATATAAAACACCCCAATCCGCGTGACCCGAATACAAGGATCAGCGGATCGGGTTGTCACTAAATTGGTTTCTTTATTTTAAATAATTTTTACGTTTTTTCTAGATTTTAAAATTATTTTATTTAAAACAATTAATTGGAATACTATTAGTTTAGGTTAATAATTTAAAAAAATGATTGTAGTAAGTTGGCAAGTTGACGTATGTGCATCGCTATTTATAGTATGCAAAGCAAGAGATCGGTGGAATCTTTTGTGAAGCTGATGTGGGTGAGAGAGGTGATGTAGTAAAAAAGTATATAGGTTATGAATACCATCCATCCTAACACGCAAATTACTCCGAACATACTCTATAGTGCGTCTATAGTCCATACTTCAAATACCCACCACAATTGTATATGAGCTTCATCTGTAAATGAATAGAAATCCAAAGCCTAAGTGACTAATTGCACTTCCAAAAACAAAAACGAAGTGATTATATGAATTGAAATCCTAGCACGAAAAAGACAAAAGAATTAGGCATACCTTGGATTGAATTTGAATTTTTGCTATTTGGCTATGGCACCTTAATATATTCGAAGTCCAATTAGGGTTGGCGATCGAGAATGTCCTTAGCGTAAAAAAGGTGTGGTATGGTAGTATGGATCCAGTATGCATCCACCTCTTTTTTATAAAGGAAACTTATCCAAGTGTTAATGCCAGATCAAACTATCCGTTAGAGGATCGTTATTGTTTAACCGGATGCCCAAATCGCACAAGCATACAACTTTGGCTTATTATTAGTCACATTGAAAGATTTGTTTATTTTAGAACCATCGCTCATAGGTGGAATTATTAGAGATAATTTTCTCAAACTCTAATAACACAGACAATATACTCTCTCGGTCTCAAAACTAAATTCTATTTTGCAAATTGGCCGTCTCAAATTGAAAGTCCTATTTTCTTATTTGAAACAATTATCTCACCAAAAATACCATATAACCCCTCCCTATTCACTTATTTTTTTTCCATCTCTCCCGTCATTTTTTACACTTATTTGTTTCAATCAAGTTTAATTTTTTTGTCTTACTTTTTCTATCTGTTAGAGTGCATCCTACATCAAAAGTCCAAGAGTAAAATAATCCGGTATATAAGCTCTTGAGTTAAACTAACTAATCGATTGGATTCAATCTTTTAATGTGGTTCAGCCCAAGTGTCTTATTACCCAATCCAATGATCCATACCCCATCCTAAATTCTATCATGGTATCGGAGCAGGTTTTGGCCCACCTCGTTTGTCAAGGTGTCCGTCTAGACGTTCATTCCTAGCGGCCCGTTTGTCTTTAGCCCAGTTGTCCGTATGGAGTATGTATCCAACGGCCTGTGGCCCATTTAACACGATTGCTCGTCTGGAAGTCCATACCCAGCGGCTCGTGGTCCTTTAGGTGTTGGTGCTAAAAAAAAATCAAGGGAATGAGAGTTCATTTGCAAGTGGTCAACCGGTTAGATTCAAAATGGCCCGGTTGTCCACTTGAGGGGGAGTGTTAGAGTGCATCCTACATCGGAAGTCCAGAAGTAAAATAATCCAATGTATAAGCTCTTGAGTTAAACTAACTAATCGATTGGATTCAATCTTTTAATGTGGTTCAGCTCAAGTGTCTTATTACCCAATCCAATGATCCCTACCCCATCCTAAATTCTATCACTATCTTTTCAATCAATTTTTTACACTCTTACTAGACTCGTACCCGTGCGTTGCACGGCCTAATTCTAAACTAAATAATTGGGGAAAGTATGGATGAAGGAAAATGATAAAATTCAATTAACATAATAACTGGACAATGAATATTTATTCATTAAATGCTTGGATTTGATAAATTTATTTATTTAATTTGATTCGACACAAAGCTTGCATATAATCACATACCAACTTTTCCTCTTAAATTATCATTGGATTTTGTCAATCTATATGTTATACTTCCTCCGTCTCTAAATAGATTACAATTTTTTTTCTCTCCTCTCGATAACTTTTGTTTATTTACGCGATTTCATTAAATATTTGATAAAATAAAATATTCTTGTCACCTCTTGTTTTGTAGAACTTTGACGTAGTTTTTTAATATGTAATTTTTATATCTTATTGATATACCAATTTATAAATAAAATGATTTCAAAAAGTAGGAAATTTTACTCCGTAACCCGCAATTTGTAATCAAATTGGGGACGGATGGAGTTTAATTTTGCATAAAGTTTTCTTTGAGCAACACACCAACTTTTACTTTCTTAAATATCTATAAAACATTACAGAGTATTACATAGTAAATATCTCTACCCATTATTCAAGCCATTTTTTCAGACCCAATACCGAATAGGTAGCCTATACACTTAGGCCGGCACACTATTTACAAATCTATCATAGCATTCTATATAATTATATTCTGTACCCGTGTTTTGCATGGAAATAGTATTTGTCCCCTAAAATTAAAACTTATTGAGTGAACATAAAAAAGTAAAAACAATTTGTAAATAAAGTTTAAGAGATTGTGTTCTTAATATTTAAGATAAAACATCATTTTATAAATAACTATACTTCATTTGTACAGAATTAAAATCATATTTTTAAATTTTGTGTCCCAAAATTGAAGTCTTGTTACCTTATCTTGTACAAATAACTCATTAAAAATAAAATATTACATGCACTTCGTAGTTTTTCAATCACTCTTTACACACATATTTCAAAGACTTTAATTTTATCTACTTTTTCAAACTTTTAAATCGTTTTGACTCTTTCTTGTTTCTATCAATTTATTTTAAAAGGTAAAATAGGCTAATCATTGACATTTTTTACCCTACCGTATCTGGTTTTAATCTTCCACTGATTTTGCCCGTGTTTCTAATGTATCATTTTGACTATTAATATTGATATTTAAACATAGTTATATTTTTTAAAGTTTTAATATTTTAAAACTTTGTTTAAAAAGAAATATTGATATTACATTATGTATTTTTTCGATAAAGTTATTTGTACCCCAAAGGTTTGTATCCCATTTGTACACCGCAAATGTGCACCAACATTTTGTGTTGATGTAATGTTAATTTTTGCTAACGCATCGACACTTAAACTTTTGTTAACGCACTAACACTTTGTGTCGGTGTGAACCATCAAAATGTTGGTGTATACCTTTGGTGTACGTTTCGAGTACAATTTTGGTGTAAGTGTAGCATGATCTTTTTTTTTACATATCCTAGTCAAAGTTAAAAAATGTTACAAATGAAAAAATTAAATTCACATGTAAAAAACATTGCATTAATGGTGTGAAGTCAAATATGGGCCGTGAGCAAACTTGTCCACCCAATTTAGGGTAATGCACTCGCCAAACTTGTCCACCCAATTTTTTTGTCATCTATGCGCCGTTTCAACTCTCTCTCTCTAGGGTTTTACCACCGGCGATCTACGCCGCCGGTCTTGAGCACCGAATTCAGACCTTTGCCTAGCCTTCAACCACACGTAGGTTGGTTTACCCGGTGAGGCTCCAGCACGACTGTCGGAAACGAAGTCGTTTCGGAAGGCTATGTAAGCGTTTTATCTTGAATTGCATATTTCTTTTCAAATTCGTTCTCCGAGTATGTACTAATCCCTAATTTTATATAATTTTGCCTACGAATTCTTCGATCTGTTTCTTTCATCTCCAATTTTTTGGTTGAGAACTTAGTTTTAAGTTTTCTCATACCATAAAGAAACCCATCTATTCTTTTGGCATGCATCTCTGTTTCTTTTTGAAGAAATGAATGAAAAATATGACAAACTTAAGTGTGTTTCTTAGATCTTGGCAACATGAGTATGAATCTACCATATATCTTCTTGGCCTGTGGCCCGTTTAACATGATTGCTCGCCTGGAAGTCCATACCCAGCGGCTCGTGGTCCTTTAGGTGTTGGTGCTAAAAAAAATCAAGGGAATGAGAGTTCATTTGCAAGTGGTCAACCGGTTAGATTCAAAATGGCCCGGTTGTCCACTTGAGGGAGAGTGTTAGAGTGCATCCTACATCGGAAGTCCAGAAGTAAAATAATCCAATGTATAAGCTCTTGAGTTAAACTAACTAATCGATTGGATTCAATCTTTTAATGTGGTTCAGCTCAAGTGTCTTATTACCCAATCCAATGATCCCTACCCCATCCTAAATTCTATCACTATCTTTTCAATCATTTTTTTACACTCTTATTTCAATAACTTTTTACACACTCATGTTTCAACAACTTTTATGTCAAAGACAAAAGTAGAAAATCAATATCATTATCAAGTTTGTCTTAAAAAGTGCCAAATCAAACCGGTTTTTTAGTTTCGGAAACTAGACATTACAAACATAGTGCATATGTCAGGGCCAAAATGGGGCAGTGCCCAAACTGTCGGTGTAGATTTCACATCTTTTACGGAGTATTTCTGAGTGTTGAGTACATCACAAAGAAACACACACCTTGTAAGCCTAATTAGTAATTAGAGGGCCAAAATGAGAAAGTTGCATATGTTAGGCAGAAGTACAGAAACATTGAATGTTCTATCTAAATTCTGAAGTCTAGAGTAATAAGTCATTTACCCACAAACAACATTCTTTGTTTGATCTTATTAGCTACCCTATTTCATCATTCATCTCAACAAACACAAATGAGATAAATAAATAGAACCTAGCGGAGTTGACATTGGGATTCTTTTCCTTATTCTCCTCTTGATGATGATCATAGGTTATAATTAAGTACATTTCATCCTTCAATTTTTACAGCTTTCTCAGACCGTGTATGACTGCTGAATTGCATCGCCATCAATTCCCTTGAGCTTCACCACCGATTCAACATGGCCCTTTAGCGTGTGTAGTTCCCTTAGCCTGCGCAAGAACAGAAAATTTTTATGAACCGAAACTGATGGAGATGACAAAATAGTTATTGGTTCAACCTTCCACTTAGAGGCAAACATTTTGCTCATATTGTTACCTAGCAACTTCGGCGCGGCGTTTAGCCTGCTCAGCGATTTCTGAAAGTTATCTATAGCTCTTGTTTTCATTGAAGAGCTGAGATGTGTTTGGGTGTTGAAGACCATGCAATGTTCTTTGAGCCATTACCCACTGTGCCTCTCTTTCGCCCCGTCCATAATCCTTCTTAGATGTGAAAGCAGTCTGAAACAGTTTTCCAAAACACAATATTTCTTTTAATTGTTTCATACGGAGTATGATCCTGCTCAAAATAGGTTTTCCACGCCATGCGAATCACTCAAATTCCATACAATATTTTGATTATAATTTATTCAAAAACCTCAGGCTGGAATTATGGTCAATCTAGTGAGCACACAGCCACACACACATATGGTAATTTCTAACAACTTTAACACCATGTTTGGTTCAAGGAATTTGAAATGGAAAAGAAAATAAATTGAGAGGGAAAACGGTTTTTCTTGTTTGGATAGAGAGGAAAAGAAAAGAAAAGTGGATAAAAAAGGAAATGAGAAGACAAAATATACTAAGAGGAGGAAATATCAAATTCCTCCCATTTTGGCGAGGAAAATGAGCCGTTTTCTTTTCATTTCTTTCCAAATGCCTTGAACCAAAGTTACCAAACATAGTGTAAGGGAAAAGGAGAGGCTAGGCTACATACCTTGCTGTTTAGCATATTATCCCATGCTCTACCGCTAAGAGCATATCGAATCGCAAACTTCAACAGATCGAGTGGAGTGTAGAAAAGTATGCTATAGATCCAGATCACAGCTGCCCAGCCCCAGCCAATGCCGCTTACTCTAGCAAATCCCCAGTTTGCATACACAGCAATCAAGGTGGCAACCTTATTAATTAACAGGAACATTATAAGATATGTTTAGATCTCAAAAAGAGGATTTTTTTTTGTGTGTTTAAACACTAGAAACATTTTACCAGTTGTGCGATAACAAAAGCAGCAACAAGCAAGAGACCGGGGCGTTCTACAAAAGACCAACTCCGGGACCTGGTGACGAAGATAAGAGCCTGACTCACGATGCTCACTTGAAGATACAAAGCTGAGTTGATCTCGGCATAATTATCCCTGATTCGTCTAACATGGAACCTCTCCTGGTATAAATTTTTAAAACAATGCATAAGGAATTATCAGAGTCAGAAGATGTCAATGTTGGTGGATGTAGGATGGTTGTTACCGTGAAGAAGTCAGAGTCATGAACAACCCAGAAGAAGATGACAGTCATGACGGCTAGGTAAGTCCCAAGAACAATGCCTGTGGCAAAAATTTCCTTAAGCTTCCAGGAATCAGGCATTGGGGACGGCTTCACTTTATCTTTGGAAATGGTCATGATGGTCCCGTCATTGAGAATGGCAATGATGAGAACCATGAAGGGAGAGAAGTCGAATTTCCAGATTAGGGCAATCAACATGAAACCAAGAACGATACGGATTGTTATGGAAACTGCATAAATTGTGTAATTCTTCATCCTCTGGAAAATGGCTCTGCTTGTCAACACGGCACTGACAATCACACTCAGACCTGGTTCTGTCAAGACTATGTCAGACGCACTCCTGGCTGCATCTGTCGCATCAGCCACTGCGATTCCGATGTCTGCTCTCTTCAGTGCTGGGGCATCGTTAACCCCATCCCCAGTCATGCCACATATGTGCTTTCTCTCTTGCAGTTTTTTCACAATCTCATACTTGTGCTCTGCATGCTCAAGCCTAGCTTGTTAGAATTCAACAATTGATTTTTTATGTAGAATATGCAGCTCTTAACAGTTTTCTTTATCAAACCAAACCCACTCACATTTTTTACATTTTATATAAATTTTCTTATACTCGGGAACGGGGTGTATTATTAATTACTCCCTCCGTCCCACCCCCAAAAGGCACTCTTGCGTTTTGGAGGGATTTAGGTTAAATTTAGAAGTGATTGAAAAGATACGGGTGAACAGGATTAAACAAGAAAGAGAGTGCAAAAGTGATTAAAGAAGTAAGATCAAGAGTTGAAAAAGTAAGGAAGAGAATGTAAACGTAATTGAAAAGATAGAAAAAGTAATTGAAAACATAAATTAGTCGTGCAAAATTTAGTAAGTGTGCCTTTTGGGTAGGACAACTAAAATGGCAAGAGTGCCTTTTAGGTAGGGCACAGTGAGTATTTTGTACCTGGGAAAACTCCGGCGAAGCCATCAGCCCTCTCGATGAGTTCCTCAACCTGAAGGTTCTCAATGTTTTCGCCCTTGTCACCACCCAGGAGGGAGGAAGAAGGATACATGTTAGTCCCCATCCCTAGTCGTCGCCCTGTCTCCTTAGCAATGGCTAGCTGATCCCCCGTGATCATCTTCACATTGACACCAAGGTGCAGTGCACGCTTGATTGTTTCTCCACTGTCGTGTCTTGGTGGATCAAACAGAGGCAAGAGTCCTACTAATTGCCATGGACCTCCCCGGCTGTCCTTATTCTTTTCAGGCACTTCTTGTTGACAGACAGCAAGAGAGCGAAGGCCGCGATCTGCAAACTTGTCGATGATCGAATGAACTCTTCTTTGCACATCGCCATTCAGGCCACAAAGCTCAACAATCTAATATGGAGTACAAAAAAATATATACATACAGAGAACTTATTATTTCTTCTTAAAATGATAATAAACCATCTTTGGTTACCAAATGGAACCTATATTAGCATACAAACTACTAAAATCTAAGCTTCTTAGAACTTTAAAGGCTCACCTGTTCTGGTGCACCTTTGCTTGCCCTATGCCAATTCCCACTGGAGTCTATGTATGTGATAGCGGTGCGCTTGTCCACTGGATTGAAAGGTAGGAAGTGCACTTCCTGGATGCCTGCCCTAGCCTAAGGTGTGTGTACAGAACAATAAGGAACCCATTGAAACTATCACTATTAATATTTAAGTCCGCATAGGTGAAGTGTTGGATTGTTGTATTGTACCTCCTTAGGATCAGCCAGCATTCCAACGATACATGCATCAATAGCATCCTGATTCTCCACCCTGGATGCCCTGGCCGCAAGGACCATGACAGCGTCCTTATCGATACCCTTAGTGAAAACCTGCACGGGTAAGAAACATCTAACATGGAAACTTCTTATCAGGTATGGTCACTACATGTAATATGTTGTTCACTCAACCTCAATAAGACTTTTGTCAACAGTGAGCTTGTTAAGGGTGAGAGTTCCAGTCTTGTCACTGCAAAGGACATCCATTCCGGCCATCTCTTCAATTGCAGTCATCCTCTTAGTGATGGCACCTTGCTGGGACAGACGGTGAGAGCCGATTGCCATGGTCACTGATAAGACAGTGGGCATGGCAATTGGGATCCCTCCAATTAGCAGAACCAATAGATTGTCAATGCCATCTCTGTATCTTCTGTGCTGGATTGGGTACATCACCACTATCTCTACCACAATCCCCACAGCTATGGAACATATGCAGAAGTTTCCAATGGAAGTCAACACCTAAATAAGGTTTTTAGAAAGAAAAGAAAAAAAGTTTTCGAACACATGGAACTACAAAAGCATCACTGCTTCACAATAAAAATATATGGAGAAGTAAGATATTCACCTTTTGGAAGTGACCAACTTGATTGGTGCTGTCAACAAGATGTGCAGCTTTGCCAAAGAAAGTATGGAGACCAGTGGCAATAACAACGGCTTCAATTTCACCCTGTTTACATGTGGAGCCAGAGAAGACTTCATCTCCTGGATACTTGGTGACGGGCAAAGATTCTCCAGTCAGGGAAGATTGATCGATCTTGAGAGGATCTCCTTCAAGAAGTCGGGCATCTGCAGGGACAATGTCTCCTAGTTTTATGCTGATTACATCTCCCGGAACAAGGATCGCAGCATCTTGTTCACTCCATTTGCCATCTCTCAACACCTTCATCCATTTACATGTTACAATTAAATTAACTAGCCTGGCCTGAGATATCCGTCATTTTTTTTTAAAAAGCAATTCAATCATCTTAATTAAATCAATTGACATATGATTACTTTAGTCTTAGGTGCAAGTCCTGCCATTAGAGCAGCAGCAGCATTGCCTGCATTGTTTTCCTCAATGAAGCTGACAGTGGAGTTTATGATCAGCAATAAAAGGATACCAATGAAATCTTGCCAATCCATGGGCTTGCCCTGTAAAATAAAAAGTATGATTTATATGATGGTATAAGCATTCATGCATTCCATATACTCGAGTGAAGAATCATCGGTACGTAAGAAATATATAAATTAAAGTTGCTAACCCCTCCATGAGCCAGACCAATGGCAATGATGGCTGCACTCTCCATGACCCATGATAACGGATTCCACATAAACCCCAAGAACTTCAAAACCTTGCTTTCCTGTCGCCACAATATAATAGTGTAATAATACACCCTAGTATAAATGTTCTTAATAAGCTTGTTGAATCAAAGAGATTCTAAGGACCGCGCACACCCTCATCCCAACCACATTAGTACTAAATTGATATGATAAGTAAATTTTGGTTAAGCCTTCAACGATTGTTTTGGGCACCTCTCAAAAGGTCTCATACTAATAAGTTGACTCGAACTTCTGAGTCCTCTTTTTCCAATAGTGTGTTACCGGTTTGATATCCAACAAACCTTCCTCAAACAAGAACCACAAAACTTGTGACGTCCCTCCAGTGATTATCTGTTTTTTATTTACCCACCATCTTGAACCGCCGCAACAACCCTTTAGGACATGCCACCCGACCACTTGTTCAACATGTAGTGTAGAAATTTCATGATAATTTAACTTGAATGATTTCATTAAACATAAACTCGTTGTTTATACAAACTTAACCTAACTACGAGCCCAATATTTCAGCCCATTATTAAACCCTAATCCGTACATCAACTAATAATACGTAATCAGTTCTGTTCTAATAAAATCTTACATTCACAGTTGTTTTACTTGTTTGCTCTCATCTGTCGCTTCCTCCGTCGCTGTTGCGGGTGGTTTGCCCAGTGACTGTGCGTTCTCATTCACAGTTTTTTTACTTGTTCTTTTTTTTTCCGGCGTTTGGCCTCCATTAGCCAACAGCCTACTGTCTTCGCCGAGCAAAAGTTGAGAAGGTATGTTAATCCAGTCATGCCAAATCAGGGCATGGTTGGGTTTTTAACAAAGTTCACAGAATTTCAAAACACAGGCAGTGGAATTCAGTCCGTCGCTTGCACTTGTGTCCGTTGCTGCTTCGATTGTTCAATCCAGTGAGAAATCCGCCGCTGAAAGTGTCCTCTCCGGCCAGTCATAATTGTGATTCAGGCTTTTGCTAATCGATGTTTGTTCTCCATAATGACAGTTTGGTTTTGGAAGTGCAATTATAATATTTATTTCCAAACACAGTTTCCATTCTAAGTCTTCTCAACATAATGTTCATTCGAAAATAATAATAGTGCTTCATTTTCAAATAACGAATTCTTATTCCAAAGCACTATAGTGTTCATTCCATGTTTTAGCTTTCACAAGCGTACGACGCCACCTCCATTGTCACTGTCAATAGAATTCACCGTCGTCGTCTATGGTGAGGTCGCCGCAGCGCGCTTCCCTTGGATCGACGTAGCTCTACTCTCATTCGGTCTCCACCGATCAGCTCTTCTCCAGCACCGCATCTCGTCTCATTTATTGGATATTGCGATTGTTCCCTAATCGACGAAGGTCGAAGCTAGGGTTTTCCATGCTCCTCGTTTCCGATCGTGCGCCGCGTCAATTCGCCGGTTCTAACGGAAATATACGGCAGTATGATATACCTTAGGCCTCTTTTGGTAACAAGTAATTCAAAGTACGGAATTGGAATTGAAGAATTCAATTTCAATTCGAGTGTTTGGTAGCACAAAAATTATGTAGATTTGAAATTGATAGTGCAAAAATTGAATTAGAATTGGTAGAATTCAATTCTATGGAATTGAATCCAATGTAATTTCAATTCCAATTCTGTCAATTCCGTATACCAAACGAACCCTGAGTTTAATTTGGTGGTGCATTTGGCCATTTGGTTGTGTGCCTATTTGCTTGAGTCCCCAAAGTGTTTAGTTTGGTATGTTTTGCTTTGTTCATACTCCTTTGGTCCCCATTTAAATTTTTATTTGACTTTTCGTAATCAAAATTTGTAATGTCTAATTCTAAGATGCAAAAATATACTCCCTCCGTCCCCCATAGATCTTCTCAATAGCCCTTTTTCTTTGTCCACAATAGATCTTCTCATTTCATTTTTTAACAATTAAAATACCATAATTACCCCCACTTACTTTATTTATTACACCCCACCCACCTCATTTAATACACTCCACCCATATTTCATTAAGGGTATTATGGTAAACTTTCACCTTTTTTCAACTCTCCTTAAAAACCACCAAAAGTCAAAATGAGAACATCTTAGGGGGACGGAGGGAGTAGTATTTTGATATAAATGTAATGCTCCTATCAATTGTCTTGTTTTGAAGCATATTTGTGAAACATTAATTTTTTTTTTAAAAAAATATGTTTATATATAAATATCAATATGAATGATCCAAAAGTTACATTAGATACTCTTAAAAGTCAAATGAGGAGATTGAATCCAGACGGATGGAATATATCAGAAGAAGGTTTAGGTCTGATTTATTGATAATGTTTTTATGACATCGTATTTGGTTGTGTTTTGGTATGTTAAATTGCAACCATCCGTATGTTTGGCATGTTAGTTTGTGAGGATAATCACACAGTCATACTTTAGTTCGACAACAATGTATGTTTACTAGTCATACCGCGTGGGAGTCATCCGTCATCAAATTTGAACGTTCGTTTTCTTGGGCACACACCTTTGTTGTTGCAGCAAATCAAGTCTAGGTTGAATTGTTTGCCGAAGTTCTTTAGTGGAGTCGTAATTTTTATTTGATATTATCCAAGTTGTTCATTTGCAATCCTCATGTGTCAACTTGAGGGAGAATGTTAAAATGTATTTGAGATTTGTGTTACTAGACTCGCTAATAATGAGCCCGTAGTTAGGGGTCATGCTATGTAGCTATTATAAAGAGCAAGTTTATATTTAATGAATGATTCAATTCAGTTCTAATAAAATCTTACATATATCATGCGTCAATCGTAGATCTCCACTCCAGTAGGCTGCAGATCTCCTCTAGTTCTATTCCAATTAGCACACTGAAAAGTCTACACAAAACAAGGCACCATCCGCAAATCTCCTCCAGTCTTGTTCGTGTTGACTTACCACTACACTAAGAACTCTATGAAACCCAAGACACAATCCACATATCTCCTCCAGTCCCCACTCATATCGATTATCGTCACTCCGAGAACTCTTCACGTCATAATATGCACTCTTGCTCACTTCTATTGTTATAATTCTTATAATTATTAATATTACTATAATTATTATTATTATTATTATTATTACTACTACTACTACTGTTATTTTTAATATATTTTATATTCCCACACTAAAAATAAAATAGACTCCAACATAATTAATATTTGCTTAATTAGAAAGATATCTCAACAAATTCATCCTTCAACCAAATCACCAGATTCATTAATTTGACCTCATTTGAGAAACGAATTCTCTTTTTCACGGTCGTGCATTTCATAATGCAAGCACCCTCTATGCAGTAGAGGTTGTTCTAAGCTTTCTTGCCATCCATTATATTTATATGGCTTGCACAAATGTATATTTTTGCACTATTTTCACAGAGCAACATACTTACGACCTTTAGTAGTTAGCACGCTTATTGAAATTGAATTCATCCTAGCCTTTGCAACATACCTCACATTGTTGAGCCACCCACTACGGAGCTTTAATTGGACATTACTCAATCCCTTCCCTAACATCTTTTGCCCTCTTCCCCTAGCTTCCTCTTTATGTATATGAATGGAGGGCAACACGTACCCACTTTTCTTGGCCATCATTTAGGTCATCTTGACTTGAGAAAAACAAATGAATATCATCACTCTCGCTATTTATCACCAAAATGAAAGAACCATCACCATCTTTTGTCTTTCCATTTGTCACTTGTGCCCTCCTAAAGGCCTTTAGTCATCTCTCATCATTTTGCAATGACTCTGAATATATCTATTCTCACCACAATAGTAACACTCCATGTTACTAAAATCTCTCTACTAAGCCTTGATTTGATCATTCTCTTGGTACATCTCTTTTTTTCTATTAGTTCCTCCCTCTCTCCGCACCAACCGCAATACTTGTGCCTTGCTATTGCCTGGGGGAATGAAAACCATCTTGTGACATCATCTTCTCATTCTCCATCAAAATCACCATTGCCTTATCTAGACTAACCTTAGTCCTCCCAATAAGAAAAGTATGTACAATAGGTAAATATATCTTTGAGAGTGATGCTAACAACAAATATAAAGCTTGCTCGCGATCAAATATGTTTTTATTAGCATTTTTCACTTGACACACTAGTTGATTAAAATTGTTGATAAGATCCCAGAATATTGTACCCCATCTTAGAAAAGAATATTTGTCAATGTTTGATGCAATATGTACTTTGTATCTTTCCAATAGCTTCTTTGGATATAGGATTGTCAATGGATAACTAAAAACCTGATTGTCGTTCACATCCTATCCTTATAAACGGGAATAGTCAACATCCGATTTAAATGGATATTATCTGTATCCAATTAAAGCCATCTAATTACTAAACAAATTTGAATTTTGTAATTGTATATCTGATCTGTTTAAAATTTGATCCAGATATACATCCGTTTAAAGAACTGCATATCCAAATATCCTTTTATTCGAAAACCGAATTAAAATTATTTTAATACATATAATCATCCATCCAACCCACTATTATTGATTTTGTTATTCACTTTCACATTTCTTTTATAACCAATTGAAAGCTAAAAACTGACATACAAGAATATTCTGAAAACCAGACCGAAAGCTGAACGGAACTAGCAACTGGGTCAAGGGTCAACTAGTCGAACTAGATTGAATTAGGTCAATGACCCATAGCTTGGTATAAATCTTCATATTTAAGTTTAAATTGCCATGTTATTTGAACTACATTTAAAGACAATAAAATATCATCACATAACATAAGTATGCCTATAATTATAAATATTATGAAGTTTATTTAAAGAAAAAATACAAAGAATTATAGTTAGATATAGTTTATTTTGTTAAAAGAATTGGAACACGACATGTGTTAAGAAACAAATATATACGATGTACTGCTTATAAATGTCAAGGGTTTAATTTAAGCCTGATGTCAACAATAAATATTAAGATTAGAGGTGTTGGGTCTGAATACCCCCACCCCCATCTTACATTTTTATTTGTCAAAATTAAAAAAAAAGTGGTTTTGGTCTATAACCCGCTGCCAGGCCGGGTTGATCCAGCCCACAGGTCACTTTTTTGGTCGATCGGGTCATCCGGCCTGATTCGAGATTAAAAACATTGATATTCGGTCGGTTCTGGATATGTAATTGGATTTGAATATATATCCTAAATCTAGAATTATCTATCAATTATGGATTCGGATATAGAAATGTAAATGTCCATTGAATACGGATACAGATTTGGATATTCCATATCCGTCACAGATATTGTCCGTTTAGAGCCCTATAATTGGATATGACGCTACCAATTAATTATACTTGATCTCTAGAGCTATAGCTAAATGGAGAACACAAACCACCTTCTACTGCATTGATGCCCATTGAGCATTATTTATCTCCACAGACTTCTCCTCCTTTATATCATCATCTAGATTTTGTTGAACCAACAAATCTTCAAGGGTATTCTTACTCAACATTGAATTCATTTTTCATCAAACAAAGGAATTTCTAGTTTCTGTGTGTTGTCCATCATTATTTCTTTTTATTTTTGATACAAAACCTCCCCCACTTAGCTCACAAAGATAATATTTCCTTGCACAAATAATAAACCTAGCTATGATATGATACCTATTTTCGGGAAAAATTATTGAAAATGTACAACTCACTCAAAATATTAGAGGAAAATAATGTGCACAAAAAATAAATTGAAAAAAGATTTTTATGTTAGAACCCCCTTCCAAATAAAGGGACAAGTTTTATTTTTTGAGATTAAATTTTTCACTATAATATCAATTAAGGTAAAGAAACATAAATACAATTTATATTCTCTCCAACACAATAAACTCAACACTTTCTCACTTTCACCTCTTTATTTGTATGCTTCCATTCTTGTAAATGAGTGGCTTTTTATAGGTAACTCAATTTTAATCAAAGGAAAAGAATTGAGATAATTATATGACTTTTATTTCATGCACATACAATATGCCATTGTCCAATGAAATAATTTTTCCTTTCTTCATTTTCACTTACAACCACTCCCATTATTATTATTATTATTATTATTATTATTATTATTATTATTATTATTATTATTATTATTTCTATTATATTTTGTTTTCTCTTCTCAAACTAAATGGATGGGAGATTATCAAATTGAGTAATATAGAAGTTACATGCCTTTTTCTCTTCAAGTTTGTTCTGACCAAAGACATCGAGCCTTTGTGCAGCATCCTCAGTCGTCAACCCCTCTTTGGTGCAACGTAGTTGTTGGAACACCTCATTTATTGGGATCCGTTCCTGGACATACATTATATTTTACACCACAAAAAAATACCAAAATAAAAATCTTCTCATAAATCATTTTGTAATTATTTTCCAATTGACTGTATGCATTAGTTTATGCTTCTTGATCAATTAAGTAGATCATTTAGCTTATCTATGATGATATAATAAGTTCTTATATAGGAGTATTCAGTACTTAATTATAAAAAAAGGAAATGGTAGAAAGCGTACAAGATCGACATTTTCGTTCTTAATGTCTTCCAAGGTGATGTTTGATGCCATGAGGTTTTATTACCTTTAAGGCTATATATTAAAAAAAAGATATCAATGTAATATAATGTAATGTGTTTGAATACTAAGAACAAATCACTTCTCTTTTAGGAGATAGAATATATCAAATATAAGAGAATTGAATTTGATTTCTAGCTTTTGAAATGAGCTTTGGGAAACACTTAGGTTTCACTCGCATATGGAGAGATTGATGGATCAATATGTCTATTGGTTTTTGTAATTTATTCTCTTTTATTAATTAAAATTATAAATTTTTAAAAATGAATTATATATACTCCATATATATAATGTGGTATTGTTGTGGTGCTTGATTTTAAGATTTGATGTGATGAAATATGCATGTGCCAAGTAAAGAGAATGAGTGAAGGAGCGAATCTTGTTTCTTCTTGTTCACTCTCTTACTATTGGTGCGCTGGTTCTATTATTTTGTCATTTCTTGCATGGCCTACTATAATATAGCTTCACGTTTTACATGACATTTGAATTTAATTAATTTATTTTTCCCAAGTATTTATTACTTTTAGAATGTCTCAAATCCTATATATATATATATATATATATATATATATATATATATATATATATATATATCGTGTATATTCCTTTATATATAAATCTTTTATTATAATATTTGAGACTTAGGCTCATAGAATGTCGACATGTGGCGGGTCAACGGGCAAGTTAAAATATAGAAAGATCCAATTCTAATTAATATGCCTAATATATACCTTATACGGCGACTAGAATATAATTCCGAAATAGAAAAATAAGAAGATAATTATGAGTAATTTTTAAACTTTTTTATAATGTATTTTGATTAATATAATGAGTACAATGTAAAAAACACCATAGTTCTTTCTATTGATAATATATGTTCAATTTTTTTATGTAAATTAACTATTCCCTTGAATAATAATAATAATAATAAGTTTAAGTTAGAACAAATTGAAAAGGTTAAAAAAAGAGAAAGACTATTATAGAAGTAAAATATAAAAAAGTATCAAAATTACTCATTTTGAGTTCTACCTCAATACTTCTCTCTCCTAACTATTACTGTCATTTGAGTTTACTCTCATCTTTTCTTATTGTGTATTCTAACGCCTAACATTTGATAATTTTAAAAATAATTAAAATTTTGACTCTAGGTCGTATTTTTTTAACTGGGAAAATTAAAATATCCAAAGTGGACACTTCACACTTAATAATAATGTTCAATAGAGAGAGAATCATGAGTGTTTCTTTGGTGGACCTTCTCACATAAAAAATATATGTTTTTTAATTTTTTTTTATTTATAAAAACAAATTCTTATTTAAGTAATAAAGAATTACTTATTTTGCTCATATATAGGTCCATGGTAGACCTTAAGTCCACCATAGAATTTTTCGAGATTCATTAATATGTTTAAAAAGAAATTCATAGATTGAAATAAGACTTTCAGTGCGTTAAACCAACGAAAATAATTGATATATTTGTATTGTCAAAAAATGTAAAAGGGATTAATTTTAGAATTACTGAAGATATTTTTTTGAAAAAAATGCATACGCAATGGTGACGACTTATGTAAATTGTTTTTTGAGAAACCTAATATAAATAAATAACCTTAATTGTTTGAAGAAAATTATACTACATCCGCCCCATAAAAATTTTCAAATTAGAAAAAAGGCGCACCCTAAAATTATTTATCCTACACATCATAACTTAGCTTATTATAAAGTAAAGGAAAAGTTAGAAAATAATATCAAAATTATACATTTTTAAAGGAGTTCAGTGGTATGTCATTTCCAGATGATAGTCACTTAATAGATTTCAAAATAATTTTTTGATTGAGAACTTGAATTATGACAAAGAAAAATTGTTATCTGATTTTAGAGGATATTTATCTACGATGAATGAAGATCAAAGAAACATATTTAATGCGATAATGGATGTTTGATATCTGAAAGAGGAGGTTTCATTTTTGTATATGATTATGGGAGACTTGAAAAAACATTTATATAGAAACCAATGTCTACTTCTCAAGAACGAATGGTATGTAAGGCTGTTTTGAATGTTGCATCTAGTGGCATTGCAGCATTGCTTTTGCTTGGTAGAAGGACAGCACACTTGAGATTCTCAATCTCTCTGGCTTTAATTGAGTGCTAAACGTGTGCTATCAAACAAGGGGATTCGAAAGTAGAATTAATCTACCAAGCAAGTGGAATCGTATGAGATGAAGCATGTGTGATGAATAGATTTGCTTTTGAGGCATTGGATCACACAATGAGAGATATAATGAGGTTCTATAATAATAACTCTTGAAATGAACCATTTAGAGGGGAAATATTAGTACTCGGAAGTGATTTTCGCCAAATCCTTCTAATTATACCAAAGCTTTGAGAGAGAAAATTGTAGGTGCTACCGTGAATTCCTCAAAATTGTGGTTGTATTGTACATTTTTACGTTCACCAAGAATATGATATTGCATTCATCTATGTCCTCTTATTCAACAAGGGATACACAAAATTTTTCTGATTGTATAATCAAAATTGGAGATGGAAAGCTTGGTCAGGTGATTGATGAAATTTCTGTTGTGAAAATCCACCCGGATTCTTGATTCTTGACGTAAGTTATCCTCTCAAGAGTATAGTATTGAAATTTACTTATCTAAACTTATTGGAGAATATGAAAAAATATTATTTTTTAGGATAGGGCACCATTAGAACTCACTCTCGAAGTTGTTGAAATGGTAAATGAGTTTGTCCTATTCCTCATTCTCGGTGATGAAAAAATAGTACTTGAGTTATCATTCTTAATGACAAGCAGATGCCAATGTAGGTGTTGATGCTTATTAGATAACATTTGAATTTTTAAATGAAATCAAATGTTCAGATGTTCGGGGATCCTAAACCAAAAAATAGTTTTGAAAAAAGGGTACTGATTATGTTATTTGGATTGTGTAATGTTATAAGATTAATTGTTGAAGAGCTGCGAAAAATGTTAACCGTGCAATCGTGGTTTCGAGAAATCGAGATGGGGAAAATGTTTACATACCTCGAATAAATTTGGTACCATATAATCACAGGCTACCCCCTAAAGTTTCAAAAAAGACCATTTTCAATAGTTATGTTTTGCTATGACTATTAACAAAAGTTAGGGTGAAACATTATCTTTTGTTAGATTATTTTAACCAAGTCACTATTCACTTATGGTCAATTTTATATTTTTGCTTCACGAGTGAAGACACATACATGATTAAAAATGTACTCCCTCCGTCCTATAATGATCTTATTAGAGCACTATTCCAACTTCACGAGAATTTATATTTATTTGTGTTTTTTCATGACCTATATGATAAAATAAAATATTCTTGTCACCACTTGTTTTGTTGAGCTTTTGGTGTAGTTTTTAAATATGTATGTTTTATTTTTTATTTCTATACCAATATTTAAATAAAATAGATTGAAAAAACTTGGGATTTTTCTTCGTTTTGCGAACCGGGAAGATCATTATAGGACGGAGGGAGTATATTTTAGTTGACAATAGAAACTCTTGCATCCATACCAAAAATGTTGTATATCCTAAAGTGTTTCATAACATTTGGATTTTCATAAGTCTTTGTTTTGTATAATTTCAATTCTTCAAATATTATTTATTCTACTTTGACGTTGATGTATATATTATTAAAAATCATGTAAAAATTTATTTTCTTTAATCCGAAAAAAATATTGCATGAAAGAAATAAGAATCGACAAAAAATTTGTTCGGCCCCGTGCATGGCACAGGTCAAATTACTAGTTTAGTGAATTTAAGACTCCAAACTCTAAGAAACTCACATGTGACATTGCTAGGAGGTGACATGTGACATTACTAAGAGCTGACCTGTGTCATTACTAATGTGGTTTTTCTATGCAAACCAATTTATGTATTGAATAAAAAAGAAAATCATTTTTATGTTTCCTTTTTTAACACCTAATATGTCACATATTCTTTAAAAGGAAAATATAAAATTAAAAGTTTGGTAAGAAATGTTTGAGTAAATATAAATATGGGAAATGTATTCCTTTTTATAATAATATTCTTTCCAAATTCTGTATTTTTTCTCTACATTTATAACAAATTTTTAGAATAATATATATGATACTCTCTTCACCTATAAATAAATTTTACAAGTGTTTATTGTATGTTTACTTGAAATTAATTTTTTGATTAAATTTATTTAAATATTGACACCTAATAAATAAATTGCTTTCTTCACCAATAAAAAAAATAATATTTATTTTGACACCTAATATTATAATATGACACTTAATTTAAAATGTAGAAAATCTGAAATCAATATTTTAGTATGAAATCTTTGAATAAATTAAAATAAACAAACAAGACATTCGTTTTAATGATAATATCCTTTCCTAGTTCAAAATTTTTTACTCACTTCCTTTATAATAAAATTTTCAACCAATAAATAATATAGTTTTTAACCTCTAAATCAATTTCATACAAGTATTTGTTTATGATATGTTAAAATGAAGTTAGTTCTGATTTGATTCATTGAAATATTGATTTAAAATTTAAATCACACAATATATTTTAAAAATTACATCAAAAGATATATAGAATAAGAGATGACTAAACTATAATTATATTACAATAGAAAAAATATTATGTGTAATTTCATAGTTCGAATATATTGATTTCATTATTTGACTTAATTACTATAAAACTTATGGCTTATAGTCCTTAGACTATTTATGATTTAAATTAGAAAATATAACATTTTTAGTTAACTATTATGATATGATATTTTTAATTAAATTATTATTCACTATTGATAAAAATGTGTTACCAAGACATATTATGTTTACACTAACACTCTTCATAACTTTAACATTATTTAGTACATTTAATTATGAAAAAGAGACCATCGCTTTCATTAGAATACATTTTTTCAAATTTTATGTTTCTTCACAACATTTATAATAAAACAGTCAATGAGTAAATGAGATTTCCTTCCTTCCTTTTAAAACAGATACTTTCATAACCTCTAAAAAATCTTCGCCTCATGTAATTTTATATTCAAATAAAAAGAAAAAACACAAAAAATATCAAATATTTTTGTAATTTTTTATTCAAAATCATAGGATCACTAATGTTTTTTCTATTAATATTTTTAATTAATGCTAACAAATGGAATAATTGGATTTTTAGTTTTTTTTTTATTTTTATTTTTTGAATCACAGGATTTCTAATTTAAGAATCATTCAGATATTTTTTGACTTATGCAGGGAGAGAAGAATCATTCAGATATTTTTTAATCGATGCAAGAGAGGAAAATCATAATAATACGTGAGAGATGAATAATATGTATTTCGCTAATCAAAATTAGTGTAGTGAGGCAGGATAGAAGAGTCATACTCTTTGTATCATAAATAATGAAAGGAGAATAATAATATAATCACTAATATATTTTTAATTAATCTGTGGAAAGAAAAGTAATATTTTTTAACCAATACGAGGGAGGAGAATAATATTAATCCGGGGAGATGAATTCATTTTATTCGATAATCTAAACAAATGTGGGGAGAATCATATTTTTTACTCTTTTATGGTGGTTGTATAATGGCTATGTCAGGATTAATGTAGATGCTTCAACGAGAATGGTTGATAGAGTATTGAGGTTCATTTTATTGCTCGAAACTAGCAAGGGGCTTTAATTATTGTAAATGATTGGCATTGTAGAGGATGTTTTAGACTTAGAGAAGCGGAGGTAATTGATGTAAGTGAGACTTTAAGGTGGATCAATGACAAAGATTGGAGGCATATCATTTTGAAAATAGATTGCGACGAAGTAGTTGAAGCTCTTAATAATTCCACCAATATTATGATTTAGCGAGTGAGAGTAAAAGTTGGGTTGGAAGTATTAGTTTTAGAAGTTTTTGTTAGTCTTTTTATAACATCACACAAAAATGTTATATACCTTAATTTTTCAAAACATACTAATTTAAATAAGAGCCTGACATGTTAATTTTCAAATATATATAGTATAACTTTCATTAGCAAATATTATACCCCCTCTGTCCCACAACATTTTTCTTTTCTTTTTTCATATGTCCCAAAAAAACCTTTCTTATTTCTATTAAAAAGTAATTTTAACCCCTACTAATTATTAACATGTCTATCACATCAAATGTTTTTACTATTAATCTACTATCACCTCTTACTTTTACCCATCAAATGTAAGGGCTTTTTTGAAAGGTAAACACCAAAATAAATCTTCTTAAATCCTTTAAAAGTCAAAACCATAGGTTTGTGGGACGGAGGGAGTATATTTTGAGGTTGATGTTTATTTTATACAATTTTTAAAAAATATTGTAGCGAAGAAAAATTGAAAAATTGAAACAAAAAATTCGTTCCACCCTGTGTATGGCACGAGTTAAGTTACTAGTGTGTGTGTGTGTCTATATATATATATATATATATATATATATATATATATATATATATATATATATATATATATATATATATATATATATATATTCAACTGATCGAACGAGATGTGGGGTTAGAAGTCGACGCAGAGGGACAGAAGAATTTCCTCTTTTGTCTCATCTACCTTTACTTCTTATTTTGTTGTTTTTGGCTTTTTCTTTCGGGGCTTCGGTTTAGTCCTCCCCGAACTTGTATTCTTTCTTACTTTCGGGGCTCTGGTCTAGTCCTCCCCGAACGTGTACTTACTCGACTTTAATGATATTGGTAAGGGCGGCCTGGACCTTACCCCACTAACTTTGGTGGAGTTTTCGGGCAAATATATATATATATATATATATATATATATACACATATATATATGTTTTGGTTCCAGTGAGAATAGAATCTAATGAAAGAAATAAGAATGAATATGGAGCGTTAGATGAAGTAATTTTATATTAATATAGTCGTGGGCTTTTTAGGTATTCTAATGCTAGGCGTGTCTTTTTTATCAAATGCTCTCATTAGTTCCACAATTTTAGGTATGATTGTTGTAATTAGTTCAATCCCATTAATTAACTCAAGAGTTACTTAACCCATATGCGTGCATTTAAAAAAACCCAATAATTTTTCTATTTTTGTAGTTAATTCCTTTAAACAAAATCAATCAGTTTTTTATCTCTTTAAAATACACTTACCCTGTTTGCTTTTTCCTTTGTAAAAAAAAGTTACGGTTTAATTTTTTTGGTCAAAATGGAAAAACTTTAGCAAGGAAATTTTAAAAGAATGTATTCAATAATTTTGGACACGACATCCCTATCCAATTTTACAAAGTAAAATGGTTTGTTTTTTGTTTTTTATTTCTTTCTGTGTGTATTAGATTTTCTTTGCTTTCTTCAAATTTGTTGTGGTAGTAATTGTAAGACCAAACTTATTGAGATAGAATTTACAAAAAATGAAGATTCAATGCGTTCAATGCTCATGTGCATTAAAAATAGAATAATAAAAAAAGCCTACATGGGCACTTCTAGATGCATATTATACACTTTAGCTATGTATCATAAAGAATTTAAGGTGCATCATAACATATTTTCTATTGTTACTAAAGTTCAATGAGCAAAGTCTACATGGGGTTATGTTATTTTTATTTTAAAGGTAAAAGTAATTCATTCCATTAGTGTGCATTCTTGAAGAAAAATAAAATTCATCTATCACATGGTAAAACTTTTGACACAAATACGATGAACCTAAGTGAAATTTTTGTAAAGGATGATGCATTTAAAATATTTTGTAATGCATTTGAATATGGGTTTTTTAAGAGAATGGGTTAGAATATGATGCATTTGTATAGTCTTGTGAGTAAATTTTTTTCAAATAATATGATTAAATTTTCTCAACACAAATGATGATGCATATATATGTTCTAGCTAGTGAATATTTTCAAACAATAATGCATTAAAAATATTCTATGATACATTAAATTATGGTTAGGAACTCTTTGAATAATTTTAAAATATGAACATACATATTTAATGAGTCAAGTGCAAGATGAAAGTATCTTTTAAAAAAATGAATCGTTATTAAATAGTTAAAATGGTGGAGCGATATGTGTCACAGTTTTGCACTTGAATCTTTCATTGGAAAATTGTTTCTCAAATCTAAATTACACGTGCTCTAAATACAATGCATTCTTATCACCTTAAAAGTCACTTTGAAACCGTTATTTACTAATCCACAAATTATTAGAATAAAAATTAAATAAAATTTAAGCGACAATTGATAGTGCATATATCGACCATCATGGAGCATTTGTGCATAAAATCATACTTGATGTTGCATTTATTTGGTTAAATAATAGAGAAAAAAGTATCTATAAATTTGACTATAAAATATAAAAATATCAAAAATATATATTGAATATTAGTATCATCGTCTTACGAGATATTTTCAACGATATATTATTTTACAAAAAAAGAGTTGTATACAAAAAATTATTTAAAAAATATTCAAAGCAATAGAGTAATTAAATAAAGTTAAATTAATATTATATTATTCAAATATAGTAATATTTCTAAATTGAATAAGGAGTGGCTCGTGGGAAGTTTTGAACTAAAGAGAATATATAGGTGCTGAGATAATTGCCACATTAATGCATCACAATTTTACCAAATTGCCCATAGATATTAATTACTCCCAATTTTAGTCCATACGTTTACTCCTTTCCATAAATAAGATGAAAATTAATTTTGGAGGCTTTCAAAATGTTAAACGTTGGATGCATTAGATCTAATGATCAAGATTTATTCTTATTTCTTTCATCATGAGACATTCTCACCTGAACCGGCCCCTATATATATATATATATATATATATATATATATATATATTGAAGGGGGTGTTTTATTGAAAAAGAGAGTGAGAACCGTTACAAGTAGGAGTAGAGCTAAAAAAACTAAAAACAGAAATTCTTTCCAGTCCTCCAGAAATGGTTGAGCCCCCAGCCGTTGAAGTCGGCATCATGACACATCCATTTTTTGTTCCTATTGACCCAGCACAAATCTTGAAGGAGTTTGAAGCATTGTTGAATAACCCCTTCCTTTGCAGTCTCTTTCCCTTCACATATGGCCAGATTCCTTGCTTTCCAAAGGCACCATGGGATGATGCCTGGTAAGATCAATCTAGCACAACCTTTCAAATTCTTGGTGTTTCCGGAAATCCACCATTGAAGCATGTATTGCCGCAAAGTGAGGGGAGATGAGTACCTAGCTCCATAGGCTTCCTCCAATGTTAGCAAGTTTTTGAACCCTAGCCCCCCTGCTTCTCTGGGAAGACATAAGTCAGACCACTTGATCCAGTGGTATTTAGGCCAACCACCTTTCTGCCCCCTGTAGAAATTGGCCATTAAAGTATTGAGTCTAGCATGGATGGATTTTGGCAGAGTGTGAACCGCCATGATGTGTAAAGGAATGGGAGAGAGAACGTGTTTGATGAGGATAAGGCGCCCCATTTGATTAAGAATTTTGCTATACCAAGAAGAAATGTGGTTGTCAAAATGCTCCAGTAGGCTGGAGCAGTGTTCCTTTCGAAGAACACCTTTGCAGATTGTCCCACCCAAGTAGGTGAAAGGGAGGGAACCAGTCGTCATGCCTAGGATCTTCTCAATGTGTGAAATATGTTCCTTGGAAGTGTTTTTGGAGCAATAAAAGTGACTTTTATTGTAGTTTATCTGCTGTCCAGAGGCCCCTAAATAATCCAACAGCACACCCTTCAATCTGAGCAGATTCCTGGTATCTCCTTTGGTGAAAATCATGAGGTCATCAGCATAAATTAGATGTCCCACCCCTTTGTATCTTTTAATGAAAGTTGTTTCCAAGTGGTGGTTCAGGAGCCTTGAAAAGCCTTCACCTCCTATGATAAAGAGAAGAGGGGATAGGGGATCACCTTGCTTGACTCCCCTAGTCATTCGGAAGAAACCTGTGGGCTCCCCATTTAGAAGAATGGAGATAAAGGTGGAATTCAGATTTGCCATGAGAAGCTTAATTGATAAACAGGAGAAGCCAAAGCCTTTAAGAGTGGATTCTAAATAAGACCAGGCCATTCTATCAAATGCTTTGGCCATGTCAATTTTGATGATGAGATTACCACCAAATACTTTCCTGTCCAAATGGTGAATAGCCTCTTTAGCCATTAGAATATGGTCATCAATGCCTTTACCTTTCTGGAATGCAGCTTGTTCTTCAGATATGATTTTAAGCAGAAGTTTTTTGAGCCTATTAGCCAGCAATTTGGTGTTGATTTTGCTCATGAAAGTGGAAAGGGAGATAGGTTTGAAGTCATCAAAGGTTTTAGGTTGGGATTTCTTTGGGATTAGAGTGAGGAAGGTGCTCCCATACCCTTTGGGAATAGGCATCCCTAGAAAGAAATCCTGAGAGGCTTTGAGGACATCCTGTTGAATAATATCCCAGCAGCATTTGAAGAAGGTACCATTGAAACCATCTGGTCCACTTGTACTGTTTGCATCCATCTCTTAGATGGTATGTTTAACTTCCTCCAAATCTGGCAGAGCAGTGATGGAGGCATCATCCTTAGCTGTAATGAGGGTTGGAATATGTGGGAGAATGGGCTCAAGGTTTGGGCAATGGTCAGCTAAGAATTGGGCTTTAAAAAAATTGATGGCTTCTTCCTTTGATTCGTCCTTGTTGTGAATGCCTTTCCCCTCTTTGGAGATGATGTGGTTTATGCTTAGCTTCTTCTTTTTTCCTCTAACATAAGCTTGGAAGACTTTAGAGTTAGCATCTCCCTTTTCTAACCACTTAATATTGGCCTTCTGCTTTCAATATTCCACCTCCTTTTTAACTGCCAGGATGAGTTTGGCATTGGCCAGCTGGGCTGTTTCTCTTTTTCTATCAGTGGGATCTAGATCATAAGCTTCCAGGGTTAATGATGCATACTCTTCAGCTTTCCTAGCTTGTTCAAAAATATTTCCAAACTCCTTGTGATTCCAATCCCTCAGTGCCAGTTTAAGGGCTTTTAGCTTGGAAAACAGGCCTCTCATTCCTCCAAACGTAGGACTTCTTTTCCAGGAGTTTTTAACTACTTGCTTAAAATTGTCATGATGAGTCCATGAATTTATAAAGCGAAAAGTCCATGAACCAGAATGATGTTGATCATGACAGTGAAGAAGTAAGGCCTTATGATCTGAGTTAGCTTTTGGAAGATGGGAGAGATCCACATCCTTGAAAGAGGCAAGGACATCCAAATTAACTAACACTCTATCAAGCCTTCTCCAAGTTCTACCTTTACTCCTTACACCTGACCAAGTAAAAATACCCCCCGTAGGGTCTGGACAGTGTAGTTTACAGTTGGAGATGCAGCTGTTAAAATCTTCCATACTTTGATCATTAGGGGTGCATTGTCCCTTTGCATCCTGCAGGGATAAAATAGCATTAAAGTCACCTCCCAAAATCCATCTTTTATTCAAAGGACAAAATGATTGAAGCTGAATCCAAAGCAGTCTTCTATCTGCAATCGAGTGGGAGCCATAAATGCAGGAAGTGGTAGAAGGACTGCTATCCTGAAGGAGAAGAAAATCATTGTGCGTGACTTGAGGTTCATCCGAACAATTAGTCATGGTAAGAGAATCATGGTTCCAGAAAATCCATCTCTTATTATTGCTGGAGGCAAACCCATTAGAAAATCCCAATTTAATACGATAGGTTTCAAGCTTCTGAGCATTGACAATAGGTTCTAAAATACACATGAAATCAAGAGAATGAGTCCTATTCAGAAAGATAAGTCTCTCGAGTGAAGAGGCAACTCCACGGACGTTCCAAAAAAGAAGCTTCATAAGAGTGGGTTGAGGGATACTCCTTTATTCTTCATACCTCTAGTTGTTACCCAGGTGGAGGGGGAGGTTTTTTAAGTCTGGGACATCTTGGCAGAGGCATTGAAGATTTGGGACCTTTGAGGATGTCCATTGCCAAAGGTAGCAGTTCTGAGGTGTCAAAAGGGGTTTCCTCGTTCCCACCTTCAGAGTGACAGCCGTAGGGGGTATCCAAAGGGGAGGAGGTTTCTCCAATTTCAAACCTAGTCCCAATCCATCCATCATCAAAACTTCCCATAGTTTGGGAGGCAAATGTGCATGCATGAGAGGGTGCCAAGGTTGGATCATGGGGAACGTAAGGGATGATAGCCATACATGATGAACTATATGGCACTTCAAGGAAAGAGAGATCAGGAAAGGAGTTAGGACCATCCATAAGATTAGGGTTTTCCACTTCACTACTGATGCGGCCTCTTGTCGCAGTGTTGAGAACGGTCCCACCAGTACCTGAAGATTCCTCATCACTAGCATCCCCACCAATATGCAAGAGAGTGGAACAAGGGTTGCCTAGGGCCTTTGGACTATTTAATATGGATTTACTAGCGACTGGGGTAGAGTGGGGGAGGTTTGTCTTGGGGTTTTTGAATTTTCCTGAAAGAAGGTTGTGGCTTGTGTGGGCCTTTTTTTCCACTAGGCTCCTGATTCTTCCGTCTTCTTCCTTTTGGCTTTTCCCATCCATTTATGTGCTGACCCACCCTCTGTTGAACTCCTGTGAACTTTTCTTCACCGGCCGGAGCATTGCCGGAGAGGATCTGAGGGGGATATTTCCGACATAAAGTTAATGCATGGCCAAACCAAGAGCAAGAGGCGCAGTAATCCATCACCTTTTCATATTTGCATGGAAGCCAAATATCCCTTCCCCCTAACCGAATGTGGATCCTGGGGGGAGAGCAATTGAAACATCCATTTCAACACAAAATCTCACCTTCCCCGGCGTAGCTCCAATGACCGTTTTTGCATCCAGTTTGATAGGATGACCTAAGGAGGATGCAATGGTGAAGAGAGCTCTATGATCATTGAGGTGGACCGGAACATGGGAGACCTCGACCAAAACCGGAGAAATGGGGTTGTCATGATTGGGGGACCATTTGAAAATGGTGAGAAGAATTCCCTAGATGTTCCATCTTCTCTTGTAGAACCACCTCTGGTAGTCATCTTCCTGTTTGAAGATGAACAGGACCTCGAAGTTACCCAGCCGCCGCAGTTTGAACTCTTTGAAGCCACCTCTGACCAGGAAGTCTTCCAAAGCTGAGAGTGAGATCCTTTCTTTGCTCCTTCCGATGAGGGTTCTGCTGAACTTTCCGGCCAGAACCTCTTCTTCCACAGCTGAAAAAATAATCGACGGCGCACCATTGTAGAGACCATTCACCTGACCCGGGTTGTTTGTGAAGTCACCATTGAAGAGATCCACAAACAGGGTTTTACATTTAAGATGATGATAGGAGATGAGGTTTCTGGGGTGGTTTCCGGTCGCCGGAAAAGAGGAGAGAGAAAGAGGAGAGAGAAACTCCAGCCATCCTGATATATATATATACACACACACATACATATATATATATATATATATATATATATATATATATATATATATATATATATACACACACACACATATACATACATAGACATATATATATATATATATATATATATATATATATATATATATATATATGTATGTATGTATGTATGTATGTATATATATATATATAGGTTTTGGTTCTGGTGAGAATGAGATCTTATGAAAGAAATAAGAATATCTTATAACCCTTAGATGTAGATGCTTCAGGAGGATTCATCCGTTTCATTTAGAGGGCATTTTGGAGTTTTCACTCATTAATCGGATCTTTCCTTTTTCTTTATCCTTAAAAATATGTGCAGGATCCACACTTTTTGCACCTTCCATTTCTCCATCCAATCTACAACCATGGAAATTATCTTGCAGTCTTCAAAGGAGAAGATATCAAAAGATGCAAAACTTTTTTGATCAAAACGGCTATAGCGGCGGCCGGGCTTTTCGAGTAGCGGTGTCGCTTCGTTCTCCCACAGTGACGCTGGCCGGATGCTGTTTGTCGTCGACCTCCCCCTGTGATAGACATAGCATCCGCGACCCATCTTCTTCTAGGCTAACCTCTGGGCGGTGGCAACATCGCTAGACGGTTGAGGCGACGACGGCGATCCTCTTCTGACTGATGGCTATCTCTAGGAGGGACTCAAACTAAGGCCGCGGCAACATTGGACTATATGCAATGACGTCTCTCTTTTTAATTTTTTAATGGTTAAATTTTAATTTATTTTCTTTAAAATTATAATGTTCTGATAATTGATTTCCTAATACCAAATTTTTATTTGTGAGTTCTTACAATGCATTAATTTCCTAAATAATAATTCTTTAATTTCTTTGATGGTATGCATTTTATTGTTTCAAGATCATGAAATTCTTCAAACACAAATATGATGCATCTATACTTATAGATAATGTAGCTTCTACAAAAGATAATGCATTCAAATATTGTAGGATGCATTTGAATGTATGTTCGATACATTATTTTTTTAAATAATTTTAATAATATGAGTTTATAGTTTCAAGATGATGAAATTCTTCTTGCACAAATATGATGCATCTTAATTATATTCTAGATGGTGAAGTTTTTACAAACTATAATGCATTTAAAATGTAAGTTAGATGCATGTCATTGTATAGATCTTGATACAAATATGATGCATTTGTATAATCACGATATTGATTTTTTTGCATACAGTGATGCATTAAAAATATTCTATGATACATTTGAAAGTGTGTTACAAACAAGTTAAACGATGCAAATTTTATAAATAATCCTCTAGCAATCTCCAGTCTAAATTATTTTCTGATACACTGCATCACTTTTTGGAGTTTATATATACTATGCATTTAGAAGCACCTTTTTCCATGAATAGATATTACGTTTTTGTTGTATTTCTTAGAATGCAAAATTTGAAGCTAAAAGATGCATCACAGAGAATTCAAGGTGCATTGTAACATGTTGTTAAAGCTTAATAATAGTCTGCATTGGTTTACTTTATTGTACATTATCAGGGAACAATTAATGCATTTTTGTCCGCAGACAATGCAGGTGTTGGAACATCAAATATCCAGTCAATTTTCTACCAAAGGTTGGAAAAATACTTCCAACAAAAGTTAGGGAAAACACAAACAGCATACACAAAAATGTAATAAAAAATGTGAAGGCCCCCTGATGGATAAAAATATATGAATGCCATTTTTAAAAGGTTAAAATTCATATTTAATAGCTCCAAGTGCAATGTGAGAATCTATCTGAAAAAATAAATTATTACCTATTAGCTCAAATGGTAGAACGGTATATACTACAGATGTAAGTTCGAATCCCACATAGGCAATTATTTCTCAAATAGATATTAGTATTTTTTTTATTCATAGAATGCAAAAACGGGGGATAATTGATGCATCACAGAGAATTCAAGATGCACTGTAATATGTTGTTGCATTGTTGTTAAAGTTTAATGAATAGTTTGCATTTGTTTACCTTATTGTGCATTATCGTGGAATTAGTGATGCATTTACATTAGAAGGCAATGCATTTGTTAGAACATCAACTATCCAAACAATTTTCCACCAAAAGTTATGGAAGACACAAACAACACACCCAAGAAAGTAATATAAAAATATGAAGACCACGATGGACAAAAAACATGAATTCCATTTTTAAAAGATTAATATGCATATTAGTACAGAGAAATAAAACTTTTTCAAGTGAAACTAGACAAACTTTGAACTTTAATTACTCTAAATTTGTAGTACATATTAGTACAATGGAATAAAACTGTGAAAGTTCTGATAAACATAAATTTCATAAAATTACTTTTTTACTAGTATATATTACAATTCTTGTTTAATTCAAGCTCAAAAATTATCTTGTTTGACTCCAAAAAATCAAATTAGACAAAATACACTAGGACAGAAGGAGTACTAAAATTCAAATTGAAATTTATTTGGACTCTATGCACGATCACATTGAAATTTGAAAGAGGAGTAAAAAAGGTTAACCATATGTTGCACGATTCTTTTAGTATTTCAAAATTACAATTATGGCCTTGATAAGAGTAAAAGGGGGATTGGCCCCTACATTTGTGGACCGTAATTAATGGTTACCATTTTTATTATTTGCACACTAGTTTTAATCACAGCCGTCCATTAGATCTAATCTAATGCACACTAGTTATTCTTATTTCTTTCACCAAGCACCTTTCTCACAGGAACCAACCCCTATATATATATATATATATATATATATATATATATATATATATACACACACACACACACACACACATATATATAGGGGCGATTCAGGTGAGAAAGCACCTTGGTGAAAGAAATAAGAATAAAATCTAGCCTTTAGATTTGATGCATCGTGCGGCTCATATTGCATCCTGCACTCAGATTTTGAGATTATGCATTTTCAAGGGATTATGGTGCATTTCTACATGATGTATTTTCAAACCATTTTGGTGCATCTATTTTTGATGCAATCCTAACCCTTAGATCTCACAATCTAATGCACCAGATTCGGTACGTGAAGCTAAAATCGATTTCCTAATCAAGAATATGAGATGTTTAGGATGGAGGAAAATGAGAAGATTGATGACATGTTCGACCGCTTCTCTAAAATCATCAACGATCTTCATGCATTGAACAAAACATATTCATCCTAAAAAAGGTTTACATACTCCGAATGAATTTGGTACCATCTGATTCAAAAACAACTCTAAAGTTCTAGAGAAGATAAATCTCAATAGTCTTATGTTTTGCTATGACTATTAATAAAAGTCAATGTCAAACATTGTCTTTTGTTATACTCCAGGGTATTATTTTTAACTAATTTGGTATTTACTCATGATCAACTTTATGTTACTGTTTCACAAGTGAAGGCAAGGACATGATTAAAAATATTGGTTCTAAATGACAATGAAACCTTTAAAACCATACCAAAAATGTTGTGTACCCTGGAGTCTTTTAGAAAAATTGGAATTAAAACAACTTTCTTGAGTACACTTTTAATTCCTCAAATATTATATATTCTACTTTAACATTGTTGTCTACTGATTAAATATCGTGTTATAATTATATTTACTTGATTCCGGAAAATATATTGCATTAAAATAATTTAGAATCGACAAAAAATTCGTTCGACGTCGTGCAAGGCACATGTTAAAATACTAGTATGTATGTATGTATGTGTATATATATTTTCAGCGTCTGAACCAACTAAGTGGTTCTCAAGTTATTTGTATTGAATTCTTCCACTAGGCACATTTTTATAGTTCTCCAACAAAAACATATTCAAAATCACCCTTCGTTTTGGTCTTTTGGCGAAAATCATCCTAAAACGGTGTTGACTTGGTAAGCCATGGTTTTCTCCTTAACGACGTTGTTTTTAAGTTATAAAACTTAGTTTAGCATTAAAATGCATGAAACAAGTGTTTCCAACACTTGGTTCTTAATTTTGGAGAACATCAGTTTTTGACATCGGCTTTAGGCGTTGATTGGCTAGGCCATGGTTTTGACTAACCAGCCCAACAACAATGTTGGCTTTCCAACATTGATGTTGGAGATGGCGAAGACCATGGTTAGGCTAAGTGGTCTTCAACACCAATTTTGAAAGTTGAACATCGATGTTGCGCCTTTCAAGTATATTTCCAGAACCAGCTTGAACATCGATGTTCACCATTCAAGTTCAAAACCAGTTGTTCTAGAACCTCGTTCAACATCAATGTTGACCCAACAACATCGATGTTAAGACAATTCTTCCTCGAGGCAGATACGCTTTCACAAATCACATTACTTCATTGCATTGTTTATACACATTTTATATAGCTTTTTGAGTGTAACACCCCAACCCGCATAACCCGAATACTTAGATTAGAAAACCGGGTTGCTACTAAATTGGTATCCAAACACTACTTGACTTTTCAAAACAAACTAAATAAACATTTCAAATCATAGTTTAACATTCATCGGAGTAATAGTCAAAATATTTGCGGAAACTTAGTTCATAATTCAAAACACAACTTGGGATCATGCCCGAAATATTAATAAGTTATTTAAATCATAAATAGTAATTCAAAATCATCGAATACTGCCACGCACATCTCAGCATCCTCATCACCCTCCAGGATTGGCTCCAAGTTCCTCATTCCCTGGATTACCTACGTGTAGCAAAGGAACAAATGCTACACGCTCAGCATTGAAGGTAAGTGAGAAATATTTAGCATACAATTATACCCATAGGTGATCCAACTAGCCCATATCACCATACCATATCATGCACGCAACATGCTTAGCAACAATCATAGCAGTATATAGGATACAACATGCATAAGCAATAACATCATCATTCATGAGATATAATAATAATGATATAACCTCAGGTTCTTTCCTCTTTAATTTACTTTACTTTCTTTTCGTACTTGGCTCTTAACCTATGCTTGGTTTAAGCTTAACTGTACTCGACTTGCCTATGGGAGTCATGACCTTCCCCTTCGGACAAAGGTCAAGCTCAAACCAACTCGGGAGTTCCTCGTTGGGTGGGTGAGATCCTTGTCCCCTTCGAAACGACAGTTCTTAGATCTCCGTGTACACGTTTTTACCCAAACAGCCATTGGACCCAGCAGGTACCACATGACTCTAACTTACTAACTTATGGCATACCTTGCCACTAATTCAAAATGTTCATACATCGAACAAAAATCAATCACCACATTTCATATGCTCAAACAACGGCCTAACAGTTGGTGTTGACACCAATGCAATGTTTATAGTCATAAAACACACAAAGTCTTGGAATCGATCCTTCACATAAACAGAAGATTTGGACTGGTTCAGATATCACACGGTACCCTTGGCGTTAGGGGGTATCGACCCCACGGTACCTGGGTACAGTCCCACAGTACGTGGGTACCAACCGTGTAACTGGAAAACTCCCTTCCGGTAGGCTGTCACGGTAGCCTCTACCGACCCGGCAGTAGGGCCTACCATCCATCCGATACCTAGGTTCCTTTTGGTGACAGATACTAGTAGAGCAAGGAAAAACAGAGTGGGTGACGGTAGGTAGGTACCGTGTCAATGGTACCTGGCTACCGTCTGTCGCGGCAGAAACCACACCTGCACCAGTTCAAGTTCATCTAACCAAAACAACATCAAATTTGTAATATCAAGC